TACCGGCTCACTGATCCGGCAGAATTATCCCCGTTTGGTGTCAAGGGGGTATTTTGCCAGGGAAACTAGCAGTAACGAACCCGTTTTTCCCCTTTCCCATGTGTCTCTAAGACCCCGCAGGTTAAACAGTGCCAGAGCTGCGTGCGTGCGTCCAAAATTCACAGCCCAAGCGGATTCAACCTGGCCGGGTGGGGGCCCTCATCCCCCTTACCTGATATTTTTCTCCAAAAAGCATGAATTTTGGGGGGGGGGCGGCAGACAGTGAAGAAAAGCACGGCTAACGCCGAGGCTGGAGATGTCCGAGACATCCCCGCCGGGCTGGGCTTTGCCAGCTGGGACGGTGACAGGCCACCCATCCCTGTCCCCCATCCCTGTCCCACCAACCCTGACCCCTCCGCTCGCTTTATCCTGCAGGTATCGGGGGCTGACGCTGGTGCTGACCTTCCTCTGCTACACCAGCTACCACCTCTCCCGAAAACCCATCAGCATCGTCAAGGTTAGCTCCAACCTCGCCCCAGCCGCGGGGAGAGGGGACATGGGGGTCCTCGAGCGTCCTGATTTCACCCCTTCTCTCTCCCCGCAGAGCCAGCTGCACCCCAATTGCTCAGCCTTGGGCCCGAACCCCCACAACGACTCCAATAGCAGCACGTGGTGCAGCTGGGCACCCTTCGGTAAGGCTGAGCTCCCCCAGTCACCCCAAAAACTACCCTCACGGCAGCCGAGACGGGCTCCCCCCCATGCCCTAAACCCCGTCGTGGCCAGAGGTTTTGGCAGGAGGCTGGCTGCTCATTAGGCACGTGGAGGTAATTAAGCAGCGTGCGTCTGCCCTGTGCCCCCGGGCCAAAGGGCAGCAGTGGGTGGTGAACTCGGGGCCAGGATGGGACCGGGTCCCAGCGCCGGTGGCACCCAGCCACACTCCGAGAACCCCTACCTCGGGGAGGAGGGTTTTGGGGACAGGGGACGAGGATGAGCCAAGCAGCCACGGGGAGGGAACACAAGATGGGGGCCAGGCTGACGTGGCCCTAATATTTCTTTTCCAGATGGGGACAACTACAAGGAGCTTTTCGGGGCGCTGGATAATGCCTTCCTGGTGGCCTACGCCATCGGGATGTTTATCAGGTACCCAGGTCCTTTGCACCCCTTTTCCTCCGCGCACCAGTTTGCACCAGTCCGCCAGGAAACTGGTTTCCATTGGGCTGGAGTCATGCTAACGGGAAAGCAGCCGGGCGCTGGGAGCCGCTCGGTATTCGGGCACCGGCTCGGTGCGATGACACCCATCGGCGGCATCACCCATGACAGCTCCTGTCCGCACTTTTCCCTCTCTCCGCAGCGGCATTTTCGGGGAGCGCCTCCCCCTGCGCTACTACCTTTCAGGGGGGATGGTGCTGAGCGGGCTCTTCACCGCGCTCTTCGGCCTCGGCTACTTCTGGGACATCCACGTCCTCTGGTACTTCATCGTCGTGCAGGTGCGTCCGCGCTGGAGGATGCCCAGGCTCTGGATTTTACTGCCGCAGCCTCATCCCATTTTGTCGGCGGCTTTCGGGGATTGGGGTGGCCCAGTTTTCGAGCAGGAGAATGCTGGGCATTTCCACTCCCTGCAAAACATGGTCGCGGCATGGCGTGGGTGCCGAAACCACTGGGCGCGGCCGTCTTGCCGAGCAGGGTGGGTGGCTGGTT